GATGGCAGGAATGAAGGTAAGAGAACAACAACAAGAAGGATGTTGAGGAAGTTGCTAACTAGTCAAAGGAAACTGAGGACTGTAGAAAGTAGTCAGATGATATTACTCCTTTTGGGAATTCCTTGCTTGCTTCTACAGTTAGTTCACCTAGCTTACATGTCTGGCCCCTTACTATCTTTCTGCAATAGACAGAAACCAGATGTGTGTAGTTTCCCTTTCATATGGTGTTAAGCCTTCTGAGATGTTGAGAAAGTGCTGTGATCCATGGTTTTGTTTCATTTTGTGTCCCATTGTCCTCACCACCCTTTCTTTTTTCCAGGTGGTATTGCCATTCCAACTGGTACTTGTTTTCTAGCTGCTATTGTTAAACTAAACCTTTGGGAGGCTTTTGCATGATCATAAGCAAGTTCTGGAGCTTCAGGATTTGTCTTCACTGCTAAGACACCTGTTATTTACCACAGACTGACTGCTATGCACTTACTATCCCTGGTAAAAACACAATGGAAATCGTGCATTTAGAGCTTTACTGTTAGGTAAGTCCCAAGTGATCAGCTCAGCATGTAGTATAGTGCTGAAGCTGATATTTCTACTGGGAAAACATCATGCATGTACCTGAAGGCTAGTCTTCAGAGCTAAAATGACAGTTTCTTTACATCAGGGTACCTATAACATGAGGATATATTTTCTGTTCCACTGGGAAATGGTGTGTGTTGCCATATATACAAACGGTAAAGCAGACTGATATTCTTGAATAAAAATGTTAGCATGCAGATTAATTTATTTAAATTATATTTTGGTAGATATTTTAAAGGCATTCCTCTCTCAAGTATGAAGACTAAACTTAGGTTAATTTAGTGAAAATACTTCCCAGTAAACCTAGTGTTCTGTGTCTCCATGCAGCAACCAACTTAAATATTTGAAAAGACTTGAATACAGAAAGTCCTAGTCTGGAAGAGGAAAATTATTTCCAAAGAGGACTTCAGTGCTAAAGTTTTATAAATATATTACATGGAGAGCTACAATATCTTACCTAAAACAAGCTATCCAGCAAATCCAGCACTTTGCTGGATTTGGATGATAAGAAACACTCTTTGGGTTTTAAAATGCTTACTGCCAAATGCTTTCCTGATTTTTGAAGCTCAGAAATGTAGAGTTAATCTATATTTTCACTTATTTCCTGCAAAGATACTGCTCTTACGAAAAGACAACATCTTAAACACATATATAGGCCATGGCAATGAATGGCAAAAAAGATGGCAGAATATTATTTTGCACTTCTGTCCAACAACGCTAATTCCAGTTTATGGTCAAGGAGCAGCTGCTTGCGCCTGCCCTGCCTGTGACTCCTGCAGTGCTATCTCTGGACAGACAGCTGAACCAACTTTGCAGAATGTTGTCATTCTCACTTGATCCAAATCATGAAGCTTTCAAGACTGAAGGAAAATACAATCTCCCTTCCCCCGCCAAACACTGTAACACCCTGAATAAACATGGAAGTAATTTGCTGGCCAGAATAGAATGTGAAGCACTGATATAATACCCTGGTATTCATTGTTGCTCAGTGTCAGAGGATGCATTTTGCTCTTCCTGAATCTCAAATGACCTCCAAGGATAGATGAAGGCCAGACATCTGAAACAAGCTTTAAATTAAAGTGAAAAATGTTCAGCTACCTGATAAATTCCACTTCAGACAAATGTTGCTTTTCCTGGAATCATGGAGCAGGTGTGTGTCTAATTTTGCAGTTGTTAGGTGTAGCTTTACTAATTGGGAGAGAGCTAAGATCTTTCCTTTGCTTGCAAGCATGTTATCTTTATCTCTACAAGAGCTCTGTGGGTACAAAAACAATTTCACATGTTGCTGAAAAATAAAGAGATAAGTACTGTCAGGAAGATACTGGTGGTGACACTGCCATATGTGTTACGTATGGAAATACAAGGGACAATGGACGTGAGAATGTGGAGGATATCAAGAGAAGGTGGAGGTGATCTTCTGTCAC